TAATGATTTAAGTACAATTCCAATAGGAGAAATTTTTATGAATAATAAAACATTAGTTGCATTAGATTTTGATAGAAATGATTTTACAACAGAAGGATTTCTATCATTAAGTTATTCTATTGAAAAGAATTCAACTCTTTCATTTGTGGATTATCCTTCAAAGATGTACAAAAAAATTTCAAAACAAACTATGTCTGTTGAATTATTACAAAGATTTGAAGAATGTTTCTATAATTTCTTCAACAAAATTAAAACTAACAAAACCAACAACTACTTTGGTGATATTCATATCTTTGACATTATTAATTCATATCCATTAAACATAACACCATATGAACTTTTAGACCAAAACATTCAACCAAAATTAATTGGAAAATACATCGAACCAATTCAAACCGATTGTCCAGAAATGCCAGAACAACTTAAATCTTTCTCAGATTTGAAGAAAGATCCTAACTACTATTATAATTAAATTAATTGTTATTATTTTAGTTCTTTTTGAATATAATTAAAATTGCTTATATCAATATGATTTCTGATGCAATAAAAAAGAAAAACTAAAAAACTTGGAGTACTGATGAAACGGGTTTTAATAACTGGTGCAACAAGTGGAATAGGCAAACAAACAGCGATACTACTATGTGCAAAAGGGTATGAGGTAATAATTCATGGCCATAATAAAAGTAAAATTGAGTTATGTATCAATGAAATTAAGAACAAAATTCCTCAAGCTCATTTAGGAAGTATTTATTGTGAATTTGATGAATATAAAAGTATAACAAGCATTGTCCAAAAGGAGTTGTCAGGACAACAAATTGATGTGTTAGTTAATAATGCAAGTCATATTAACAAACAACGAAGAGAAATTGATGGAATTGAAGCAACATTTGTAGAGAATGTTATTTCACCATTCATATTTACGTGTGCAGTATTGCCATATCTAAAACCAACAGGAAAGATAATATTTGTTACTTCAAATTGTCACTCAAATTATTTAAATTTAGATTTAATGAACTCAATGGACCATGACTATTTTCAAATTTATGAAAATACAAAAACCTGTGAAATTGCACTTTCGATTTATTTTTCGGAAAATACTCCATTTACTTGTTTTTCTGTACATCCAGGTATTTATAACTCAAATCTTCATAACAGCTATTGGGGAGATTGTGGGATTGATTCGAGTGAATGCAATTGTTTATTTAATATGATTGAAAGTGAAGAAGTCGAATCTGGTAAATATTACGACCAATGCCGGATTTCAATTGCTGCAAATCAAGTGTATGATAAAAAGTTTAGGAAAGACCTTTTATTATTATTAAAAGAAAAAACTTCTATTGATTCACAGGCATTACTTCAATCATTTTCAAAAGCTAAATAACTTATTTTTATTTTATATTTCTTTTCATTGAAACCAAAAAAAATGAATGAATGAAATAAATTAACTTGATCAAATAAGTCCAAGAACTAAGTTAATAAACTTATCAAACTCTACTGGATCTAATTGGTCCATATGAGTATCGAAAGTTAATTGATAAATTGTTCGACATTGTGCAAGATAAGAAGTAGCACAAATAAATTGAACTTGGTTTAATTTCTTTTTACCTATTAAATTTTTATTTGCTCTGATTAATGCATCACAACTTTGTTTATTTAAATTGAACCCTAATTGAGGAAGTGCTGCTTGGAGTTCTGTAATATCTAATGAACCACTTTGATCTATATCAAAATGTTTAAATGTTGCAACACATAATTTTACCCAATTGTATAGAGCAATAAATTCAAAGAATCCGATTGAACCACTGTTATCAGCATCAAATATTAACATCAATCTTTTTATAGTATCGTTATTCATTTTCATATCTTTAGGCCATCTAGCTTTTAATAATTCATCCAATTCTAATATTCCAGATTTATCTTTATCTATTTTTTTAAACCAGTCTTGAAGTTCTCTAAAATCATTTGCACTAAGGTTTTGAACTAATGGATACCACCATTGGAATTGAATAGTTGGATCTTGTGCGTAGGCAGCTTGTATATTTTGTAAGATCCAAGCATCTGCTGCTTTAATTGCAAAAAATGTTAGTTGCTGGCCAGTTGGTTGTTGTTGTTTTAATCTTTCTTGTTCTTCTCGTTGTTTTCTTTCTTGTTCTTCTTTTGCTAATCTTTCAGCCTCTTCTTTTGCTAATCTTTCAGCCTCTTCTTTTGCTAATCTCTCTTGTTCTTCTTTTGCTAATCTCTCTTGTTCTTCTTTTGCTAATCTCTCTTGTTCTTCTTTTGCTAATCTCTCAGCCTCTTCTCTCTGTTTTATTTCTTGTTCCTCTCTTGCTATCCTCTTTTGTTCTTCTCTTTGTCTTCTCTCAGCTTCTTCTCTTTCTCTTTGTTCTTTTTCAAAAAGTAATTGTTCATACCTTTCTTTATAAACTGAAACATATGTCATAATAGACTTAGGATCTGGACGTTCACATATCAAATCTTTTACGTCCATCAAAATTGGAATTTTGAATTGTTGGTATGCAAGTTTTTGGCAATCAATAACCATCTGAATAGAGTCTAATCCACTGAATTGTTCAAATTTAATTTGACCACCAGAAACAGCTTCTGTTAACTTAACAAGAGCAACTCCATCTTTCCAATCACTTGAGAAATTAGATATGTTAAGACCAAAAGAATTGACCCAGTCCAAAAGTGCATTATTTTCTACTAACTCTTCTTTTGTATCAACACCCTTTTGTTGATTGGCATTAATTTTGTATTTAAGAATCATAGTCCATACCATACCAAGAATATAAGTTCTGTTACCATCAACAATATTTTCAGCTGATACCGATGTGTTGAGCTTTTCTTCCTTCATAAACTTTACTGCTTTTCCTACATTATCTAATTTCACAATTCTACTTTTAGTCATACACTTCTTGTGGGGGTAAGCTTTTTTTCCAGATAACTTTTCCATAAGACTAATCAAAATATCTGATTCAGATAAGTCATTAAGTAAATCTTTAATCTGCTGATCCTCTCCAAGGTTATAATTCACCCAATTGGTGTATGTTCTTAATTGTGATTCTTCCCATTCTTTATTTCCAGTCATATCTGTAATTTGTTTTAACTCTTGATTAAAAGATTTCTCAAATCTTTTAAATACCTCATTCTGTCTCTTTAACTCTTTTTATGGTATCTTTTATTAAATAAACTTTTTCTTATTATTAATCATTGATTAATAACATATTTTCCATTAATTCACTTTTGTAATGTGTTAAAATCTGTCTCTTTTTCAAAAAATTAGCTAATTATAGATTTTAAGTTCATATCTCTTGCCTCTCTTTTATATTAAGTTGGAACAAATTTTATCAGTGAAATATCCCAAAAACAAAAATAACTGAATAACAAAAAAGGAAGTAATAACATAAACAAAAAACCCTAAAAGAGGAACAAACAATAATATAAAAGTATTTTGATTAATGGAATCAAAACAATTTGCAGTTGATCAAAAGAAAGCAGACTTAGAATACTATTGGGATTCATACTCTACAATTAATATTCATGAACAAATGATTAGTGATTATACTCGAACACATACTTATGAAAAAGCAATTAATGCTTGTAATATTAAAGGAAAGATTGTTCTTGATGTTGGATGTGGTCTTGGGATTTTATCATTATTTGCTGCAAGAGCTGGTGCTAAACATGTATAT